GAGTCTTGAGCATGGGGTGATCTTTCCTTAGTATTCCATATTTCAAGTCAACATGCTGGTAACAGACCATCTGGGTTTGGAGGGAACATACATTGTCCCTTTCCCGGGGTCCTGTCCCTATTGTCTCACACCAAGAGAACACAACCTTTCAAAAGAAGGCAGGTACTGCCCGGGAATCCCTCCCTAGAGCGAATTGAATGATTTCATTCCCAGAGGATGTTCTGTCATTCATTATATAAGCCCCGCCTCCTAAAAGAGTTCTGTAGTTCAAACAAAATACAATTCAGAGACAGCAGAAAGTTCTGAGGTCGCTAGCCTACCCTGTCCCTCACCCATCACTGGGAATGTCTCCTCCAGTTCCCCTACAGATCCGGTCTTGGAGGGACGGGGAGCCACACCCCGGTTCTGAAGCCTGTCAGCCAGGCCTGCAGGAGAATCGGGTTGGAGATCATGCCCGGGCCCATGGAATATTCCTGGGGCGTTGTTTCCGCAGCAAGCGGAGTGTGCAACGTCTGTTCACGGAAGAATTAGCAACCACGGGAAGAGAGAAGGATTTGGCTCTCAATCCGGGTGATAACTGCCCTGTCATTTCTAGGACTGCGGGCATGGGCCTCAGTTTCCCATGAGGGAAGCGGTACTGTGCCCCGCGGTGGTCACTGGTTGCCTCAGAACAAGACAAACTTGCCAGAGCAGGTAGTGCACAGACCCTTTCAGAACGTGAGGAAAGATGTGAACATTTCTAAAAACTTGCGTCAATATTCTGGGCTTATAATGTCGTGTACGTCTGTGCATTGCTGCTCCGGTCTCAGCAGCTGGGCAGGTGCACCTTCCCGAGTCCCTGCTTCACGAGCCTGTCCCTCCCCAAGCTGAGACCTTCCCTGGGCGAAGGACTGAGGGCACTCCACAAACACCATGTGGCCAATGACTTTGATCCCAAGCTTTAAAAGGACCTTTGCTTGAGGGGGCAGATAGGTTAGAAACCCCCCTAAAAACAGCAACTACAGTCCACACATACAGAGAAACACAGTGCCTCCCAAGGTGTCTGTTCATCCCTCGACAAAAAACTAGAAAGCCCACTGTACAAAAGTTTCCACACATTCTAATTCATGATTTTAAAGTTTGGATGGCAAAAAATCCGTTAATTTCAATGACACGAGGAAAAAAGTCAAATAAAATGCACGTATAGTTTTTAACACAGCCTCTACTGCAAAGATCTATAATGACTCGATCACAATGACTCAAACAACGTTAGCTCCGATGTGTTTAAATGAATAAGAGGGGAAGGTCTATGATGAAATGTACAGATAGAGAAGAGACAAGATGCAAAGTTATATAAACTACTATCTCAGGTATACTTTTTTTTTTTTATCCTCACCAGAGGACATTTTTCCATTTTTTGTTCAGATAGAGTGGGAGGGAAAGAGAGGGAGAGAGAGAGAGAAACATCGACATGAAAGGGACACATCGAGTGGCTGCCACCCGCACAACCCAACCAGGGCCGGAGACAAACTGCAACCAAGGTACGTGCTCTTAGCAGGAACTGAACCCGGGTCTCTCTGGACTGCAGGCCAACGCTCTAACCGCTGAGCCAAACCGGCCAGGGCTCTCAGGTATGCTTTTTTAAAGAGTGTAAGACCCAAAAGAAAGAGCTAGAAAGCAACAGGCAAAAATATTAACAGTGGTTACCCAGGGTAAATGTTTTTCTATACTTTCAATTTTTTTTTAAATCCTCACCTGATATTTTTCCATTTATCTTCAGATAGAGTGGAAGGGGGAGAGAGAAATATCAATGTGAGAGAGACACATCGATTGGTTGCTTCCTGCATGACCCTGACCAGGGCTGGAGACCAAACCGCAATTGAGGTATGTGTCCTTGACCAGAATCGAACCTGCAACTCTTCGGGCTGTGGGCCAACGCTCTAACCGCTGAGCCAAACCAGCCAGAGCTCTAAAGGCCCTGTTAAAAAGTATTTTCATTTTCTACCAGAAATATACAGATTATTAGTGGAAATCAGAAGACAAATAGAAAAAGTGTATAAAACAAAACAGAAAAAAATGTAGAGTGTATTAGCACTAAGAGTGTAAATTAACCTGAACCCCAAGAAGTTTAGAAAACTAGTTTCTACTAAATGATTTTGTTTTTAAATTTATTTTTATCGTTGAAAGTATTACAGATGTCTCCCCTTTTCTCCCCACTGACCCCTCCACCCCGCTCCCCCTCACCCCCAGCCTTTACCGCACTATTGTCTGTATCCATGGGTTATGCATATATGCATATCAGTTCTTTAAGTGATTTTAAAATAGGACTGCAGCCCCCGCCTCTATTTTTCATGAAATCTGCTTCCTCTTCATTCAGCTATGAAGGGACTAAAATGGACGAGCTCTAGACCAGTAGCAAGGCTCCCGGGTTCTAGTCCCAGCGCTCTGTCAGCCTGACCTGCAGCAGGCCCGCCGAGCCCCCGCTGATGTGTCTGCATCTCAGATGCCCGGACAGGGGCAGAGGATGAAGAAGAGTGACGGGAAAAGAGGAATGGTAATCACAACATTCATCTCACTTTAATATCATATGTGTGGCCCGATGTATTAATAAGCTCTTCGATAAAATGAGCAATGGGACCGAAGGGTCACCGGCCTTTCTCCTACAGGTACGCCAGGCTGTTTGACACGGGCTTTCGTCTTCAAATTTTTTTCATAAAATTCTTAATAAAGCCGGACAGTCGCAGGTAGGGTGTTCCTCCCTTGCTTGAACAGAGGCATTCCTGAGGCGTGAGACGTCCCAAGAGCTACAGAAATCTGAGTTCTAACTCCCAAGCTTTCTACTCCCTCGTTTTGCAGAGGTGTTTCACACGATGCTGACCCACTTGCTGTCTTTCATTCCTCGACTTCGTGTGAGGCAGTAAGAAACTTCATAGCATCCATCTCTTTTCTAATTCTTTGGGGATGCTACCAGAGCTAAGACAACCTGGATTCCTACCGGTGGTTGGAGGCAGAAATGCAAAATATCCTGGATATTTGCAATGCTTTAAGACAGGAATTAACATAATATGGAAGCACAGAGTAAGGAAATATGGGAAAAGTTGCCTGTGGAATTTTCCATGGCTCGATATTGGAACACTTCCCACCCTACTGCCAACCCTGGAATCATAGCCAGGCTTCGTGGAAATCAAAGATGAACAGTTTCAAGATCACGTGCTAATAATTCCACTTTTGTAATGCTTATATAATATAATAAAATACACTGATTAGAACATACAAGGTGATATTATAAAAAAAACAAAACACAAAACTAGCAGTCTCACTGATGGAACACAGATTCGTGTCGTTCTATTTACTGTGATGGAACCCCAAGAAACACAGGGGCGATCCTGGGTCTCACTTTACAGGAGTAGTTAGGCTTGAAGTTTACTTTCATTCAAACTTTCAACCAAATCATGTTCATAAAAAGCTTTTCCATGGCCCAAAACCACTTGCATTAACAACTGCAGAGATAACGACCTCTGATGTTACTTCTGAACTGTGGGAGACGCTTATTATGCTATAAATCTGGGCATTTTCAAGATGCAGCCGTGAACAGAAAGCCACGATTTTCATGCAAAATCTCATTTATAAATGCCAGCACTTGGAAACTAAATGCACCCGAGTTCTGCAGGAAGCACGTTCATTGTTTTCATGTTGTTATTTTCCATTGAGGTTTAAAGGCACCTCTTTTTTTTTTTTTTTTTTTTTTAATTTTTTATCCCAGAATGTGCTAGAGGAATCTATGAGACTTAATTACATTTACTGTTACAAAAAAAGGATTTATGAACTTTTGCCTGTAGGCAGAAATGTTTATTTCATTGCCTTTACTATTCATTCTTTTCAACTCCGGCAGCTTTGAACTTTTTAGCTGCTCAGAGTTATCACTGTTGTGCAGAGCCCGGGAACCCCACTCCCAAGACGCAAACCACAAGTGGAAGAAAACGAAGAAGGCAAAGATATATGAGTCGTTATTTTGGCCACCCTTTGTGCCATTAAAATCTCATTTTCTGCCTATTAGAATGCCCTCTTGGTGCTTAGGCAGCGGTGATAGTCACTGATTAGTGTGTAATTGACTATAATTGTCTTTTCACTTTTCATTTGTGTCACTCTGAGCTTCTCTGTGTTTTTCTAACCACCAAGAGGAAAAAGGGGGTTAAGAAAAGATAAAGCTGTTAAAACTCTCACTCTCAGCCCCGAAGAGATTCTCGATTGCAATTATAGATTGCCACCTCTTTGTGACATTTCTCCAAATTTAGCTGGCTGCTCTCCTCACCACCTGGGCCTAGAGCTCTGTAATAAAATCAAGCGATCTGTATTTAAACAACTGCTAATAATGTCAACCCCAGACAGATGCCACATGTAGGAAATTTAACCAACCCTCTGACACGCAATTATCAAGGCAATTTATTAATATGATCTCTCAAGAAAAGCTCATAGTCCAATGCAAATTAGGAAAACAATTACGACATTCAAATATCTCTATATTCCCAAAGAGCAGTAATTCTCCTAATTCATGCATTTACGACTCATTTAGCCCAGAGTTCTGTACTCATCAGCTGCATCTCTCCCCACACAACTTGTTTGCTTCCTCTGGATTGTTTTATAAAATCTAGTGTTTTATTAGTGGCTTTTGCTCACAACCCTCTCAGCTGACCAAATACCATGTTTTTAAATGTATGTAAGTTTTTTGTTTTACCCAAAGGCCATGGGAGTAGGGATGACAAAGACCTTGACGATTCTGTATAAACATAAAATCTCCATGATTGCATTATGGGTCACTTGAATTTTAAGTCTAAGCTACTACTTTTGATACAGCCCATAGGAAGGCTGGAGAGAAAGGAAACTAGGAAACTGAAATCATGTGGCTTGTATAAAGAATACATTATGGTTTAAATTTGGCAATTCATTATAGCACCGCCTCAGGGAATCCACTATTTGGTTCTGGTGTACAGCACATCGTCTGTCTGGAAACACGGACTGACCTGAGGTGAAAGGCCATTGCCAATGGCGGGGTTCATGGGGTTGGAGGGCCCGGACGGAGGCACAAAGCTGTCTGTATAGCTGGAAAATCCATGCCTGGTGCTGGGGAGGCAGTAGGCAGAGCTGCTGTCCGGGTTCGAAGGAAGAGTGCTTTGGTGGACAGTGCTCGGGGGAAGCGGCTGAGGTCTGTGAACCGTGCTGCTGGGATCCGACACGGCTGCAAAGAAGAAGACAGGAAGCCATGAAGCTCCTTCGGAAGCCAGCACAGAGCGCTCAGCAGACGCACACGGCCCCCCGCCTTCGGGAGCGCCTGCCGCTCACACCGAGTGTTCACCTCCAACCGCGTTTCTGACTGTGCGAATGATCTCCGCACATGTGTGCAAGTCCATAACTTATTCATATACATAGCACGGCACACACACCCGGAACAGGAATTCAGAAATCACATGAACAATGCTAACTAACGGTGTGGGTAGTGACTGTTATTAATCAACATAAGAATTAACCGATGTAAGAGTTGCAAGTCTCAAATTTCATCAGGAAACATACTTTCAAAGCACCTAAGTATTAGTGCAATAGTACAGTTTCAAATGGCTAGAATGCTGTCTTTCGTAGTCCAAAATAACTTGTCTTATTTATCCCATTCACCTCTGTGTGCCAACCAACAACGACTTTATCAAAGCTTCCCTTCCCCCCATCACTACTGCACTGAGTACCCATCATAGCACGTCAGTTAATTTCACCCTGGAGTACAAATGTGGAGGTAAAGTGTTAACAGAAGAAAAGCAAACGGCATATCTCTTTACAGAAAGGCTGTTTGGTTTCACTGTTTTGTTCCATTTTCAAACACTGAAATAGGAGAGATTCAGATATGTCCCAGAACAAACTGTTTCCGGAATGTGGCGGGGACATTCAGGACAACCTGATGTGACGTCATTAACATGCAAACAGCAACAGTGTCATCCAGGCTGCCTTAGAACCAGCAGCAGGGAGAGCTTTGCCCGTCTTGTCTCCTGTCCTCCATACCTTGTGGAATGGCAGTGGGCTGGTACGAGGGCTCCGACAGCTGGTATGTTGGCAGGGTGGGCATGGCGGTGGGGGGGAACCCCCCCGGAATGAGATGGTTGAAAGCCATCAGCTGATTAGCCCCAGCTTGCTTCCTCCATCGTGCACGGCGGTTGCTGAACCAGACCTATGGATTTAATTTAGAATTTGAGGACTTCGCTGATGAAGTAATAGTACATTCTTAATGAATTTTTCATGCTAAAACAGATTAAAGGCCCCTTACTGACAGGGCAAATAGAAGTAAGAGCTCTCCACCCTCTGTGTTGTATTGTCAGGGGAGAAGGGAGAGTTAAATAGCAGGTTTCACAGGGAGCTTCAGGGACCTTCTGTGGTCTTGCAGAGTCCCCATAAATCCAGTGATGACCATGGGCAGGAAGGCCTGAGCAGGGTGGGAAGAACAGAAGCCCCCCGTCACCACCTACACCCTCCCACTTTCATGTATTCTAGGGAGGATCCGTGAGCCCCTGACCTCCACACAACGTATGTTCCCATTGGGACTTGCTTATTACGCCAACCCTTGTATTCTATATTCTTATCAGTCTGTCTTTGTATTTCTCTGACCATTGTGGGCATAGCTCTGGACGGTCATATGAATTGACCAAGATATTAAATGGAGTCATTTTACCATCCCTCTCAAAGTGTGAAACATTTGTACTGATCATAGTGGAAATGAATGCCAAGGAGGTAAATATTTCAAGAAATGAAAGCATGTTACCTAAGGCGATCCCTTAAATACTTAGCTTATTATTTCTTTCAACAACAGCTTGAAGCACCTATAATATTCTGTGCCAGGCACTACGCTAACCAGGTACATTCAGAAAAGCTTGATGTCATATAATAAAATGGCTTCAAGGAATTTAACACCCAAGTACTCTGTACTAGTAGCTAGAGAGAAAGAGCAATAATAGGAGCAAGAAAGTGATTGAATATCTAAAATTATAATATGAATGAGAAATTATAATAGAAGGTGTTCAATGGGCCCCATGATCTCACCCAGCTCTTATACCTGCAGAGTTCAAATGCAGGACTTTGATTCTTCCAAGGTGTACATGTGATGTTGCCCCCAAAATGAGAAAAAAATGCCTACCAATTAAAGACTTGCTAATTCCTATAGCAAACGTTCATTGGGAACTTACTCTGGAGAAAGCATTGTGCCCAGGGTCAGAGGGATAAAGGGGTGAATGAGATGACAGGAAAAGATGGGTTCCCTGCACTCTGGCAGTTTATAGTCTTGTCCTCATGGAATTCAGAGTCATCAAGGAAACCAGAATAATTGCTCACTAGAGTCAGAAGCTCCATGTTGGAAATGCAGAGAATCGGGAAAAGTTTAGAGTGGAGACAGAGTTTCAGCTCCCAGTGGGGGTGATAATATGGGAGACAGCATGTCCAAGAAAAAACAAGACCTGATTTCCTTGTAGGGCAAAGTGAACAGTTATACAACTTATTTGTAACTTTTTAATTTATAAATTTTTTAAAAGTATGGCAGGTTGAATTTCTCCTTTTGGGGGAGCAAGAAAGCTCCATTTAGCAAATATTTTGCAAGGCATCAGCTTAAACTTTTGCTCTTCACCCAAGTTCTGAAAAAGAGTTAGGTCTTCTCTGAGCATGTTGCAAGATACTGTTAAGGAGAGCTGTTTGAACGTCCTCAAAACCCTAAAATTTAATATGCCTTAAGTTTCCAAATAAAAAAAGAAGGTAAGTCAATATTTTCCTATGTTGATACATAATTGAATTAGACCCAGGTTAACAGAGCCATGAACAGCACTCACTCTGAGGCCCATGTCAATTGTTTTCTCACGCAAATCTGCGACTCCCAGAGGCATCAGGTAAGAGAACTGTTTTCAGAGGAGTATTTGGAACAAGCTGGGTTCACCTTAGGAGGCTGAGGGTAAAAAATTAGGGGCATAGGATCTCGGCTGAGAGCGCTGGATAGTACCACACACTGTGGCCTTGTTTTATATTGTACAACTTTGAGATTAACAAGGCTACCAGGTCAGGTGACATGGTCCCCCACACCAACTAGACTAACCTACATACAGTGGATCTCCAGCTTTGTGTACTACGCTGAAAGAAGAGCTGAATTTCCAATAGTTCTGATGTGACTTTATTCATTCAGACAGACTGTTCTCAGTTGCACTGGTGGGATATCTTATGAAGAACTCAGAAGCCTGCACTTCAGTCCTAAACAGAGTATGATGCCAGCTTCCTCCGGCCAGCTTTAGATACGGAAACCAAGTTAGGTTTATCCAGTGGATGGTTAAACCTGATTACCCCATCAATTTACCCTTTCTTTTTTCTTTATTGATGTTAGAGAGAGAGAGAGGAAAGGAGAGGGAGAGAGAGATGGAAACATCAATGAGAGAGAACACTGACTGGCCGCCTCCTGCACGCCCCCCACTGGGGATTTGGCCCACAACCTGTGCATGTGTCCTGACTGGGAATCAAACTAGTGGCTTCTTGGTTCATGGGTCACCACTCAACCACTGAGCCACACGGGCCGGGCAATTTACCCTACTTTCAATTTAAGTTTATTCTAACTCCTCCATAATCCAATTTTTTAATCAAAAATGTCTTTTCTCAAATAATAAATTAGGAGAAACATCGTAATGCTGTACTAATGCCTTCAAACAATCAAATCCAAAAGACTAGGCATATGAGGTTTCTGGGATTTTGTTTTCATTTTTCCAAACTGGTACAAAAAATATTGAACACCATGAGTAAACCCAACAGGAGTTGGATTTTAAAGTTCTTTATTTACAGTACAATGAAAGATTTAAAAAAATCATTGGAAAGTAAATCTTTACTGAAAAACAAACCTCAACAGAAGGTTCAAGAATTTGCAAAAAGGAGGAATTTCACGTACTTTAAATTTGTGCTAAATAATCCAGAGGGCTATTCCGAGGGAATCAGGGCTTCCTGAGGGCTAGCCTGTCTCTCTCTGGCCATTTAACCAAGTCTGCTACCATCTGGACATTGCCAGTCGTCTGCCTCTCCTAGCGTCTGCCCAAAGAAGCGTCCGGGGAAATATACTCAAGTTGTAAGTTGGGAAGTAGTCTTCTTTATACTTTCACACTCATAGAAGACATTCTTCTATTTTTAACAGGGAAAAAAAAAAAAAGTTGTGCCTGGCAAGTGTGGCTCAGTGGATCAAGCATCGGCCCATGGACTGAGAGGTCCCAGTTCAATCCAGGTCAGGGCACATGCCCGGGTGGCAGTCAATCGGTGTTTCTGTCTCATGTCAGTGTTTCTATCTCTCTCTCCCTTCCTTTCTCTCTAAAAAAATCAATTAAAAAATAAATAAAATGAAAGCATTACAAAATAAGAAGTTGCCCTTGAAATAACCCTCATTTTAAATACCCAAGCCAGCCAAGCACAATTATCCTGGGGGACTGTTATCACCCATCTTTAGCTGAAAGCCATTTCCTTGAAGTTTTTGCCTCATTTGATGACCGGCAGCCTGGCTCATCTTCCTCTGACCCCTGGAGCTCTCCCTACTCGTCTGCCTCTCTGCAGGGCCCTTCCGCAAAGTCATACCCATGCCTTTGGAAATCACTGTTATATCCATTTCTGAAGTAATGCTAGGTCCAGTGATTTTTTTGAAGCAAAATGTAAATTGACCGAAAGGTCCCCATAACATCATGGTAACTGGGGAAGGGGGGGGGGGGGGCGACATAGGGCATTACAAAAGAAGAAAAAAGATTTTCATAAATTTTTCTCTTCATCAGTAAAATAAGAAACCAATTTGTTTAGATCCTCAACAATATAAGTTGGGGGGAAAACTGAGTACTTTAAAAACTATAGTAACACTTTTTATTCACATGAGTTCAGTGTAAAGCAGGCAAAAGTTGACTTGCAGCCCCCTCTTACTACCTCTTGAACAATTGGACAATTTGGACAATTTCCTTATTAGCTGTGGGACTGTTTTTTAATCCGCTAAATGAGAGAAATAAAAACAAAACTATTTTACAAGACTGTCTGCTAATTAGATGAGACAGAGCAGTCAAAGACCTTAAGAGAATACCTAAGAGATGTTAAGTGTTCAATAAATGTTAGCTAGTAAGTAAAAATGTCTCATTGTCACCTTAAGAAACTCAAGAATTGAAGTCCTGCTCTGTTTCCTTAACTCTGTGGTCTGTAGCCAAAGCCTCCTATGCCCATGAGCAAACAGAAAAGTGCCCTAATAACACCTCCAATCACTGAAAGCCAGTTTGGCTTGCATGGAGACGTAGGTCAAATTTGCTTCCAAGTTTCATGGATTAGTGCTAATTGTCCCACGGTGTAAGCCTAATTTTGCCCATCCATAAATTACTGGGTCACATTTTTGGTGTGCACCTCAAAGGTGATCTAACTTACATTATTCCAGATGGATTGTTTCACATACAGTTTGGAAAATGGGGAAAGAAAAGAGTGTAATGTGTAATCCTTAGAAAGAGAATTCATAACAAGATTATAAACTGCCTGATTAAACACTAGATTCGGTCACATCCAATGCTACCACGCCAAATACAAGACTTTCCAAGTAGGTGAATTCAGGACAAACTGCTCATTTCCCTGGACCTGCTCATTCATGTCACCTCCTCTCCCTTTCCAGACCACGCCCTCCCAGCCCCTCTCATGTCAGCCATCCAGCTTTGACCACTGCCTGGCCAGCAGGTTGGGGAGAGGATGAGCAGGAAGTTGAGGGAGAAACTCTCTGCGCCATGAGTGTCAGAGGACCACACACAGACATGAAAACACCCTCGGTCACATCTTCGTACATTCCAGGGGCAAGCCCCTACCTACAGCGACTTGCAGGATGACCCGATTTTTGCCTCACTGTGGAGTGTAGAGTCAATTATTCCATACCTATCTTAACTTCTGAGCTATATGGATCTGTTAGGTGGCTTTAAACCACCATTGGACTTCCCTGAGCATCCCAAATTACTGATGCTAGCAGTGTCCTGAGAAATCATGCATCCTACTTTTTAACTGGGGACTAGGGCAGCGGGAGGTGGTACTTGAGAATGTGATAAAAGCAGATGCCCTCTCCCTAGTTAGCACCCTGCACACACACACACACACACACACACACACACACAGAAGCAAAGGCACAAAATTTTGTGTACGAATCTCAAGTCTCCAGAATTCATCCATAATTTTCCCGGTCATCCACAGACCCAGAGTGAGACCATCTCATCTAACCTACCTCAAATTTCAAAATTAAAAAAAAAAAGTTCTGACACACACCCGGATTATAGCAGGATTAAGTGATTTTGCTCAATGAAATGCTTTTGACAAGCTGAGACCAAAACCTAGTTAAATGCTGTTTCTACAAGCAGCTTCCTTTCCTGTCTTCTATTATCTTGTTGCTAAAAGAGAATGATTCTTGCCGGCTTCATGGATTTCTTAGACGAAGTATTTATCAAAACTTTGCACCTAAATATTTGCACGGTGTACTTCCTCACAAAACTTTAATGCTTTCCATGATTTCCAAAATAACAGCTACCCAAGAAGTAAATTAGGCAAATGGGTCTTTGGTGTACAGTTCTTAGACTTTGTACTCAGATTTGGCTATGATAAACAAACATAACCACTGTCCAAGCAAATCCTTGTGAAATACTGACAAAGGCATACGTTATTGTAGCCTTAGTCTCATGTCTGTTCAGAAGAGTTTAGAAATATTTTTCCTCAGGAAAAAAAAAAAAAAGGAATGGAACGTGTTCAGGATTTGGGGTCTTTTTTGTTGTTTTGTGGGGCGGGGTTGGTGTTTGGTTTTCCCAGGTGCCCCAAATTAAACTAACTCACACTTTCTGGCTATCACTCAAACTGAGTTGACTTTGCTACTGCTTTCCCAGAGCCTTCTAAAAACTAAAGGATTTTGTTCTGGCATTTTAATCAGTGATTAACTACTCCCTTCTTTTTCCTGCTGGGTTAAGTAAGATCCATATGCCGGGTGTTGTAGGGAATTTGTTAGGCTGTAGATCATAGCTGTGGTGCAGGACGTGATGTGTCTCAAGGGAACTAATGAAGCCATAAGGAATGTAAAGAGTCACCGGGTTAAAGCCACATTAGGACAGCTGTTAAGTTAATGAGGGCCCAGCTTTGGAAAGGAGGTCACTGTATAGAAAAATATGAACCACTCTTTATTGGTTTGATCCCATGTCCTCTGGAAGTTAATGGGCCATTCTTATTCTGCTTTGACATTCATTGAGCCAGACGCGAATGCCAGGCACTGTCCAAGCCACATGGGCCGGAGATCCATTCTGCCCCCGTCCTCCTCTTTGGCAAAGGCAAGAATCACATACAGCAACGCTGAACACTCTTTTCAATTTCCCATCACTCTCTTTGTTTGACTTCTTCACAAAGAACTATTTCCCCTCGAAAGTCCACCTTAAGTCGTCCTTCTCCACGAGTCTCTCTTGTTTATGTCGCTGCATTTTGTCTCTTATGGCACTTATCACATCTGCTTTGTGCTTTAAAAACATGTGTATGCTCACTTTGTCACCCATTTTTATTGTAGTGCCTTAAAGGACGTGTCTTAAATTCCCTCGGCATTCCCTGACTTTCTTAGCACTGTGACGATGACGTGAGAAGTCAAACTGAATAAGACAGTCCCACTGACTCGCCTCTGGGGCCTGGAAGAGATCACTGTTGTAAAATTCCGTAACAGTAGAGGTAATTAGCTGCATATGAGAAAGTGTTGATCACTCTAGAGACCATATCAACTGACTAGTTCACTGCCGAGTTCCCGTCTCGAATGTTCACTCTGAAAGTTAAGTATCTGGGAATAACACAACATTTCCAAATAAGGTAACTTAAACTTCTGGGATAGTAAGGAGTTCCAGGATGCCCTAAGACATGTGCAATCTTTCAAAGTGTGCTTTACTACCTCGAGGGGGACGTTCATCGTTAATGGTGAAAACATTATTCTGTCCCTCAGTAGAAACATATTACATCACAGAAGGTTTTCCTGGGGATTCAGAGAATAGCTGACTCCTGAACACACAGATGTGAACTGCACGGATCCGCTCACACACAGACTCTTTCCGGTAAATGCCTGTAGTGTTTTCAGTCTGCAGCTGGGACTCCATGGATGCGGAGGACTTGAACATCCTCAGATCTCGGTTTCTGAAGGGGGTCCTGGAATCCTTCCCCCACAGATAAATTTTATGAGAGTCGAGAGTTATACACAGATTTTTGACTATGCATGGGTCAGCACCACTAACTCCCATGCTGTTCAAGGGTCACCTGTACTTCTAGGAGTTCAAAAGACGATTCAAACTATCCTTAGAACAATAGTTACTGGAAATGCTTCTCGACAATAAAGGCCTTAAAGAAAGGGATTTTATCTCATACACCTTTACACATCCTCATAACTGAAAGACTGTGGAGAGGAGGTATATGGAATCCATTTACCTCTATCAGCGATGAATGATAAAACTTTGGGTATTTATTTAAATAGTCTTGTAAATAAATTGGGGGTAGCAGTACCAACCTAAGGTTTTAATGACAAGTAAATGGGTTATAATGTAAAGTACTTAGAACAGTACCTGGCACTGAAAAACCACTCAGAATTTGTTTGCTTCTACCTGTGCACCACCCCCAGAGCCCACATAATGACTGGCACATCATTAGGGTCCGTGACATGCTGAGTGCCAACGTCACTTGATACACTTCTGTGCGTTGTCGCTGATACAATCATAGTCTCCAAGTAATAATCACCAAATTCTAAATAAAAACGCACATTTTAATAAGTACTAAAATAAGCTAAGAACTCAAAAAAACCAAAAGCAAATCCAATAGATCACACTTTTCAATCTATGCACATAAAACACAACACGATTGAAAAGAAGTCAAACATATCCATCATATCCATCATAAATTGAATTGGGCTTTTCTACCTATTAAAAAAATTTGTTTTCTTCTAAAATACTGCTAAATAGACACACCTAAAACAAAAGCGATGGGGAGAGGGAGGTCTGAATCAGACAAATGCAAAGAAAAAGAGAAAAGAGGCCCTGATATTGTTGTCATGACAGGGCAAACGACAGAGAAAAGGCATCGGAGAGAACGGAGGGGACTTGGTGACGCGGGGGGCTGCCATGCGCACCGTGCTGTCGCTAACACACTATTTTCTGGGTCAGAAACGTGCTGGGAAGGGTCTGGTACCTGTACTCGGGCCTCGGTGAGCTTCGCCCTCTGCGCCAGCTCCTCCCGGGTGTAGATGTCAGGGTAGTGGGTTCTCTCGAAGGCGCGCTCCAGCTCCTCCAGCTGCTCGGCCGTGAACGTGGTGCGGCTCCTGCGCTGTTTCCTCTTGAGCGGCAGGTCGGGCTCCGAGTCGATGTCGGAGCCTTCGTCCGACTGGGGCGCCGAGGCTAAGAGGAAAAGTGTCAGAGGTGAGTCTCACACCAGGTCTGAACAAGCCGCAAGGACCCAGATCCCGGTCTGAGGTGCGTTCCCAGGGTCCTCCATGCACTGAGCCGCTCCTTCTGGTGTCGTTACTGAATGCTCCCCCGCCTCTCCCCCTGCCCTGTCCCCAGTCCCCCCAGGGAGAAGTAATGGCAACCTGCGTGGGCCATTCTCGGCCTATCACGAGCTCTTAGAAAACAGGGAGGGCCCTCACTCCACGTCTGTGTCCACCATCCTTTGCGTTTCATGGGCAACTTCATTCATGTCTAATAAATGAGACACATTTAATTTGGCTCCTGCTAAACTTTCACCGACGTTTACATCAGGAAATCTGTTCACAAAAGTGACCTTTTAAATAAATAATCAAAAATCGACTTAGTATCTAAAAAGGCAACAATAGTAAACTATTGCAGGATTCCTATCAAGGTGGAGATGCTGCCTCTCCTCCCAGAAAAATCGTGTTTAAATAGCTCATTGCCAAAAACTGGGAAATGCTTTGAGGAGAACTTAGAAACTGGTAATGCAAAGCTGAAGAATAAATTCCGGGGGAAGCAGGCATTGTCTAGTAAACTGTCCCTTGACTGAAGTGCAGAGTCTGGGGCTCTGCTCAGTGGGTGGGTGGCTGCCCTGGACGGTTGCCTCCTTTGAGCAACTTGGTGCAAAATAAGAACGTGGAGCCCATGTTTAAAAATGTCCAGATAGCAACAACAGAGTAAAACCAAACACGAGGCCCTTCTGAGGGTGGGCCCAGGTCAACTGCCAGCCCTACTGTGGTCCCCTCCCCACCAAAGTTTGAATTTGTCTGGAAAGACCTTTCGAATTTGTGTGCAAGGCACCTAGGAAAGAGGAGAAGGTGCTGGGAAATTAGATAGGCATTCCAGTTAATGATACACTATGGTGTCTGAGTTATAACAGTAACAGAGCACCTGTTGGCCTCTCGAGGGTCCTGAGGTTTGAGGGTGCCCCAGTCCCAGGGCTCTGGGCAGGAAAGCAGCCCTCGGGCAGAGCCCTGGCCCCTGGGCAATGGAGGAGGGCCATCCGAAAGCTGTCAGGCCGGACTGACCAGCACAGGAACCCGAGCCAACTTGTCCTGCAGCACTTCCAAACGCGCCCTGTAAACTCCCCATAACTAGGGGGTCCTCAGGGAAGGGGTTGAAGTGTTCTCTCAGCGAACGTGAAGGCAAAGCCAGAACAGTGTAGATGACTAGTGTCAATGTCAAGGTAATGCATTTGCACCCTCAGACTGGTAGGACCTGGGCAAATGCAGGCAGCGCTGGAAACAATGTGAGAACGCAGTGTCTCCTAAGCGAGTCTCGTCTTCAGCTCAAACCTAGCTCCTGCCCTACTGAGATCGGAACTTGCACTCTGCTTCAGTGTAAACAACATCCTGCTCAAAGGGGTGCATGTCCGAGATGACCCATAAACGTAATTTCAAGTTTTCTAACATTTGACTACTTCTCCACATTTCATTCATATTTCAATACTGTGAAATTAAGAGAGTGAAATAATATATATGACACATTTTTAAAAGTGAATACTTGTGCATAAAGGCAAAAGACATCTATAATATACAAGGCATCTATTTTATTAGAAATTGTGTTTGTTCTTTCAATTATGTTATCTAATCTAATACAAAATGGTCTAACAATATAAATTCATTATTTTAGGACATTTTGGTATTAATTTTTTGATATTTCAGTATGAACTTTAAAAGGGAAAATCGGTTTTCCTTAAGTATGGCGATATTTTAAGAGTATTAACATGCAAAGAAATGCATCGTGCATTACAGTATAAATTTTGAAAGTTCCCAGTACAACTTGTACGTGTATATCTTTGATAAATACGAGCCAAGTTAAAAGAGCAATAGTTTGTGCCTGATTGCAGAGCAGTGGTTCTCAAACTTCTGGAGCATCAAGTCATCTGAAAAACTGGTGAACACACAGAGCGCTGTCCCCTCTTCCACAGTGTCGGGTCTGTAGGTCTGGGGTGGGCTCTGAGAATTTGCTTTTCTAACACCTCCCCAGGGGATTGATGCTAATTTTACTGCTCCTGATCTACACATTGAGAACCAGCTCTACAGAATATTCTAAATTAATTATTCTCTTCCCTCTCAAAAGTCTCAAATGCAGAAAATATTTCCTGCCACTATTTATAAAAACAAACACTGCTTCCACAGATATATTTTTACATTAGAAACAATATGTGCCCCAAGAAACAAACGACTTATTGCCCTCCGAGTACAATACATTTCCATAAAAGGTTTGCCTTTCATGCGTCTGGGTTGGATGCCCTGACTTTTCTTTCCCATGTGAAATCAGGTGAACACTCTCCAGCCTTTAGTGACGGACCGAGAGCTTCCTCTGCCTGTGAGAACTTTAAATCTTTGCTTGTACTTTCTCTTACTCTGACCCCATTAGGAAAATAGTATGTGGAAATTTTCATGTTTCCTTTGGGAGTCTCTGGGGTTATTAAATCCTCCCAAGTAAATATGATGTGCCACGCACTGTCAGGTCAATTAATCAAAGTCATCTCTGGTTCCTGAAGAAAGGGGGCTGCTTAGTACCAGCAAGAGCTAATTCTGAGGGTCAAGATCACTGTTTCACCTCAACAATCAACATCCCCCAGAATATCAACTCTGGGAACTCACGCTCTTCTCTGCCTTCTTCACTGAAGGAAGCCTGGGGACACAGTCTTTGCTCAATAAATACATGTTGAATAAATGAATGTGCAGGTAAAATTTAAGTTTTAAACTAACACTGACTTCTCTTCCACCCTTATAGTCTTAGATGGATATGCTGCTTATATGACTCTCCTAACATCTTTTTTTTTTTAATCCGCACCCACGGATATTTTTCCATTTATCTTCAGACAGAGTGGAAGGGAAGAAGGTGGGGGGGGGTGGGAAACATCAATGTGAGAGAGACACATCGATTGGTTGCCTCCCACACAACCCCGACCAGGACAGGGGACTGAACTGCAAAGGAGGTACATGCCCTCGACCAGAATCGAACTCTTTGGTCCCTGGGCTGATGCTCTAACCACTGTGAAAACCAGCCAGGGCCCCAATATCTTTTCATATGAGCTTTATGGTCTGTAAATCCTCTAAAAATTTTGGAAATTCTCACAAGTATTGGCATACCTGCATATTTTTTTTTTAGAATAATTATCATTTTTTAATTAAAGGATTGTGATTTTAAAATGATTAAGAACTACCAACAGCTGGTGATTTAAATGATTCAAACTATCTAAGAGTTCATTGGGGCAGCCTTTACCACCAAAAATAAAATTTTCTTTAATGAGCTAACTGTTTATTTCTAGGCTGTTTATGCAAAAGCCATCCAAAGTCTGCATCTAACTAGAAAAACCTCCACAGAGCATCATTTCCGAAGACCTGGGGGAAATAATTTTCCTGATTTTTCTGGGGGAAATTATCTGAACCAGCTGATCATTTTTTGCAATATGAAGCCACAATTTTGCAAGTTAATTCTAACTTTTCCCATTTGTAAACCCCAAAAGGATGTGGGCTTTGAAATATGTTAAGTCAGCAACCCAAGATTATTCTACCAGCTAAGAAAAACTAGCTATTTCTAAAGATGGAAATATTACTATTTCTTACATCACTCAATGAAAATGAAGTTCCTTCTTTACACAGAACGAGATCCACAATCGCCTGAATTTGAATCGTTCAGTTTTTACAAAAAAAAAAAACAAATCTAAAACGTAAATCCCATTTAATAGCACAAAAGACATCATTTGGTTGAAGTTCATCTATTTTATATATTCATCTTTACTCAAGATACTAGAATAAATTAGATACTAGACCCAAAGCAACCTCTATTGCTAAATATTAACCAAAGATAGCTCGACAGAAATTATATATTTTTTTCCTGTACAGAATAGCTAATGCTATGACTTTGAAGTTGCCGGCAGTATTATCAGTTCCCTAAAAGAGTAATAAATTGATGGGGTCTGGCAACTAGATTAAATATAATCTCTTCAGACTATTTCTACTGTCCACCCTTAACATTAAGGGGATATTTTTCAATTACAGTTAAGTTGCTTTATCATATTCTACATGTGCCTTCACAAAGTTTGCTTTATTATTCATTATCGACATATTAGTCCCCCAATTTCAAATTCCAGAATAGATCTTACTAGAAAATCCATATCAATATATAAGACATGCCCTGTTAAGTAAAAATTTTATTCCTTTAAATTGCATGTTCCAATCCATATTTTTACCAGACTTTGAAAGTTTTGACTCTGGCACCAAAATCCCCTCACAATCTATTCTGTGACCTATACGTTAATTTAACTCTGTCTCCAATGAATCTGAAGCAAACCTTACCAAGAGGATGATGATTTCTCCAGCTTCCCCAGATAACTTAACAAAACCCTATGAAGTAAACACCCCAGTGCACAGAAAACGGGAACTGAGACTCACGGAAGTTCTTCACGTCACATAGTGAGGGAAGCCAAGACTTGATCCAGGTCTACGGACTTCAGGGAACAGATTCTCTTTCCCTCTTCCAGCCTGGTATGTCCTAAATTGGTGTTGATTTCCTTTATCACACACAACTACCGGAAAAAAAAAAAATACATGCACACACAACAGTCCTTTTCTTTTTTAATGTTTTCATTTGATTTTTAGAGACAGAGGAAGGGAGAGGGGGTGATAGAAACATCACTGAGAGAGAAACATTGATTGGCTGCCTCCTGCAGGCTCCCTATCGGCGATTGAGCTCACAACCTGGGCACGTGTCCTGCTGGGACTCAAACCAGCGACCTCTGGCTGCATAGGTGGATGCTTAACCACTGAGCTACACCGGCCAGGCACACAACAGTCCTTTTGAAGACAAATACCAGAAACAAAACCAACAGGAATTCCAATGAAAATCATTTAACTGATTGCCACCATTGCTCTAATTTGTCCCAGATTTTCAAAAACTTCCTAGAATCAAATAAA